TAGAGCGAGCGGGGACTTGCAAAGGAAGTGAGGAGACCCCCCGCCACGGAGGCAGCTGAAAACCCGGCCAGACGGCGCTGGCAAGGCGCCGTGGAAGGAGAACCCCTGGGACGAGCAGCGTGAGCCGCTTGCACCGCGCGCGCCCTGCTCTCCCGCTGGCTGCCTGCCCCCAAAGCCCCAACGGGGGGACCTCAGAGCTACGGGCTTCGCATCCCGGCACCTCCGCACCCCGGTGTCCGGCACCCTCACAAGACGGCGTCCTCACCTTGGTGAGGCTGAGAGGAGATAAGGAGGAGAGGACAAAGACTGCGAGATTTCCAGGAAAAAGAAGTCGCTTGCGCTGGCACGGCCGCTTCCGCTGCGGGCTGCATAAGGAGGGCAGTCGCTGCGCGGGGCCGCGCCGCAGGCTCTGTGCCACCGCTCGGCACGACGTGCTCCTGCTGTCCTATCTGCCGGGATCCCTGGTGCCAGCGCAGGGCTGGAGCCACCTTTGGGATAGGGGAAGGAGGTGGCCACACCAGTGCGAGAGGATCTTGAGGAAGGGTCCCCCCCGCCTGCCTTCAGAGAGCTCGGAGAGCAGCACACAGGACACAGCTACTCAAGCAGGCGGCAGCTGGGAACGGCCCAGCCACAGTTACCCAGTAGCCAGGAAAGAAAGGCAATCCTGAGAGCTGGAAACCAAACTCTACTCGGTAGATGAGGCACCGAGTCTGTGAACACACATACAAAGTGCTGCTGGGAAACAGGCTGGCCCACCTTGAAGAGAACATCAGAGCTGCAGCTCTGCTTGCTGATCCTTAGGGATCTGCGCTGCTTCCTGTGACTGGGAGTAACCTGGGACACAGCAGTCAGTAATTTTCACTGCTCTCTTCAGCTCCATGTTTGCTGTGGGCCATGCTGAACCACACACTATTCCCTGAAGCCACAAAACACCAGCATTATATTAACTCCAAGGAGAGTTGCAGGAATCTTGCTGAAGTGTTTTTACACCATCCTCTCATGACAGTAACACACACACTTAGCACTCTTTATGAAAACACCTCACCTCTCTCTATCCACGTCACTGCAGTCCATGGAGAGCTACGAGTGTGGCCAGAGGGTAAAGCAGTGTTGGCAGAGTCAGGCCTGCCCCTCTGCTCGCCTCGAGCGCGCTCACAGGACAGGCGCCGCTAACCCAGCAGCAGGACATTTCAGAGGCAGATGAAAACCTGATTTCCTAGAGCAGTTGGAAGCACCCGGAGGGGCCTGTGGCTCTCAGCAAGAAACAGCTTGTCAACAGCAGGGGGGTCCTGGCGTGTCTAAGACTCCTAACAAATAAACACCATCAAGACTCAAATAATAATTTTAATGCAAATATTTCATTTTTCTTTTCCTTTTTTTTTTCTTTTAAAAAAGAAAGTACCCATAGATTTCCATTTCAGACAAGAACAGGAAGCCTTCCAACGACCGGGCGCTTTTATTTCCACAACTGCCTCATTTGGTGTTTATTCCTGCTTCACACAACACCCGAGTCGATCAATCACAGCAAAGTGGGGAAAATGTCTATGGTGTTTATCCGGAGGACGGTCTGTGGGTTCATGATGACTGAAAAAGGATGAAAAAAGAGAAGAAAACCAATCAGCTCAAGGCCAGACCTGCGCGTGCGTCTCTGGCTGCCGCTGGCTCG